ATGCAAGAGGGTCAGAGCACAAGGGATTTGGATCCAAACACAAGGAGGCAAAAGACATTAGTAGCACTTAATCATTGACCAATTGAACAGTTTTCAGGTGATTCAATAGCATTTGCCACAACTTTAAGAGTGACTGAATTATAGATTCAAAACAACAACCTTCACACCACAGTCAATTCACACCCACACCCAGGCAGAGATGTGTGGACACATCAAGAGCTGGGTGTGGAAAGGTCCCTCTTCCAAATTCTCCTTGTTGTCAGGGAAACAATCCCACAAATCCCTTTGTGTTTCCCACCAGACAAGGGTCACAGCTGGAGGAGTGTTTGTTGAGCTGGATCAGAATTGTCCTGGGCACCAGTGAGGGTCTTTGGAGTGTTGCAAACTGGAGGGTTCCTGAGCTGGGAGAGGCCGCCAGAGGTGTCCCACTGAGAGGGAGGTGCTGGGGAGTTGCCAGGGCCTCCCTCAGCCCCGCTGGTTGTGGGCTCCCGAGGGGACTGGCTTGAGTTATCTGCTGAATTTCCATCCTGGTGTCAGGAATGACTGGAGTTTCCACAGTATTTGGGAATTGTATCCAAACTGTTCCATTAGGGCTGTGATTCAGGCAGGAAATGTTCCAAGGCTTTCAGGGGATGACTGATTATCCTGTGTTCCCCAGCTGTTCCACTCCAGATTGTTCCTACCTTTATGGTCCAGGAGCACCTGGTCCAGTCCAGGGACACTTCCCCACACCCTGGTCCAGTCCAGGGGCTCTTCATTGCTCAGCTGGTTTGGTCAAGGCTTGTCAGGAGCTCCTGAGATCATACTTATAAGAAGGATGGGCACAGACTTAGTTGTAATAAGAAAAGTGGTAATGGTTTTCAACTAAAAAAGAGCAGATTGGAACTAGATATAAGGAAGAATATTTTACACTGAGGGTGGTGAAACACTGGCACAGGTTGCCCAGAGAGGTCATAGATGCCCCACCCTTGGAAACATTCAAGGCCAGGTTAGAAAGGGCTCTGAGCAACCTGATCTAGTTGAACGTGAACCCTTTCATTGTGGGGGGATTGGACTAGATGACCTATAAAGGTCCCATCTGACTCAAACTATTTAAGATTCTATGGTTCTTTCCTACAGAGCCAAGGCTGACAGGGATCACACAAGTTTCAGACCCAGCTGAGCACCCCCTTTGATGGCCCAGCTGGCAGCTCTGCTAAAAAGCTGCTGCAAAGAACCTCCAGACCTAAAGAATCTTTTGTGCTGGGCTGAGCTGTGTCTCTCAGGGCTGGTTGTTGGCTTTTGGCTGCCAGGTGCCCACCAAGGCTCTCTCACTCCTCCTTCTTCTCCACTCCCCTTGGTGCCTGCAGGGTTGTTTCTCCCACATTTCTCTCACTCCTCTCTGGGTTACAGCACCCTGGATTTTATCCTTTCTCCAAAGGGTTATCACAGAGGTGCCTCTGGAATTGCTTTTTGGCTCAGCTTTGGGCACTGGCTGGTCCATTTTGGAGCCACCTGAAACTGGCTCTCTCTGACACAGAGTCAACTCTTGATCTCCTCTTCCCTAAGGGAAACCTGCAGCCCCCTCCCTGCTACCAAACCTGATCCACAGGGTCATTCAAGTGCCCAGGAATACAGGAGGTCACTGATCCCATTATTCCTCAGGCTGGTTAAACAAGACTTTGTCCTCTTCCTGTCCCTGACTGCAGGTTCTTTCTGTCAGAGCAGAGCTGGGCTGGACCTCTGGACCTCAGCTGTGCTTTGCTCCAGAGCCTGCTGGGGTGGGGGCAGATGGCAATGGCAGAGGGACTGAGGTGGCCCAAGGAGAGCAAACCCTGCTGTCCCCAGGGCCAGAGAGACACAGGGCTGGGCTGGGCAGCCTGGCAGGACAGGGCTTTGCTGCCTGGGGGGTCTCTGCCACTGTGGAGGGCCTGGAGGCTTCAGGTGACTCTGATCTGCAGGAAGGACAAGGTGCTGATGGAAATGTCCTTGGCTTTGGACCTCCTGTGATCCAGGAACACTGTGAAAATCACTGATCTGTTCCTTGGCTGCAGCATCAAAGGGATGGCTAAGGGTTATCAAGAATTGGAACAGAATGTCCAGGGAAGTGGTTGAGTCATCACAGAATCATAGAATTGTTAAGGCTGGAAAAGACCTCTGAGATCATGGAGTGCAACCATTAACCCAACACTGGCATCTTCACCACTAAACCATGTCCCCAAGTGCCACAGCTCAATGTTTTTTGAACACTTCCAGGGATGGGGACTGTAAGACCCCAGGTTTGAGCTACGAGCTCAGCAAAGGGGTTTTACTTTGAAAAATATAAAAGGCATCAAAAATTTCCACCCTCCAAATATTTGAAAAGGGCCTTCAGGTCTTTTAATACCTTGAGAGAGACCACAAGGAAGAAGACACTGCACATGTTTTCTCAGGTCAAATAAGACACTTTTACTGGCAAACTTTAGAAAATAAGGAAGCTTGGCAAAAGGGCAACATTCAAAGAGAACAGAGCATTCCCCAAAGCACTGACTGATCACAGGCCAACCCATCCCAGTCAGCTGGATGGTTTATTGACAATGTGTCCCGAGGGGCAGCACCTCCGATGCCATAGAAACCTCTCCCCCTGGATTAGGAAACCTTTGGAATTCAGGAGCTGTTCCAGTGGAGCATGACAATGAACAGCAATTTCCCTAAAGCCCAGACCCCAGCAGAACAAAGCCAGGCCCCATCAGCGGCAGAGCAAAGGTCCCCCATCCCTGTGTCCCTGTGGCCGCTGAGGCGGCAGCGCAGGCCCGAGGCGGTGCCGGGTCCCGGTGCAGCCGGGGCAGAGCGGCGGCTGCGCGAGCGGCAACCCCGGCGGTGAGTGCGGCAGCCCCGTGGGAGCGGCGGCTCCGGGCACAGACGCCGGCGGCAGCCGCTGTGGCGGCGGAGCAGCGACTCCGAGGCGCTGCAGGAGCGCCGGCTCCGCTCGCGGGCGCCGGCAGTGTTGGGAAGCCGGTCCCGGGCGGCTGCGGGGCAGCGCGGGCCAAAAGCGGCAGCGGCGGCGGCCTCGTGGCAGCGGAGGCTCCGGGCAGACACGGCCCCGCTCCAGCGCTGCCGCCTCAGCGGCGCTCAGGGGACGGCGCGGCGGCTCCGGGGGCAGGGCCGGGGACTCCCTCTCGGGGCAGCCCCGGGCACCAAAGAGGACCAGGGCCCGCCGTGTTCTCAGCTCGCTTCTCTGCAGTTCTCACGGCATCGGAGCACAGCAGGGGATGGGGAAATTGAGCTCAACCACAACAGGAGCTCCTGGAACCGAGTGGCCATTGGGACACTGCAGGGCCTGCTGGAATCCAGGGGCCGGTGGGACACTGGGGAGCCTCTTGGAGCCAAGGGAACCCTGGGATTATCTGGAACATCGTGGAATCAAGGAGCTATTGTGACAGTGAGGGGCCTTATGGAACCAATGGAATCCTGGGACATAGTGGAAACTTGTGAAATAATCAGGGCCATTGTGACACTCCAGAACCTCATGGAACCAAGGGTCTGTTGTGACACTGCAGGTCCTCATGGAACCAAAGGAACCCTGACAGTATTTGGAACCTCATGGAATCAAGAGGCCATTTCTGGCAGGATGCTCTGCTCTGATAATACCTAAACAATGGTCAGAGAATGCAAACAGTTCAAGCTCTCTGTGGTGAGTTACTGCTGCTGTCAAGGTGCTGTTTTTAATGTTGAATTATGCTAAACTCAAAATGCTTCATGAAACTTCAGACACACATCCTGCTTTCTGAAGCAGGATTTGACAGAGAAGCTGCTCCCTGGCCTGCAAATATGTCTGGCAGTCAAACTCTTTATAACTGTAAATGCCCCGTCCGACTTTCCTGTGGCAGATTCTTCCCCAGACTTCCTTGAAGTGTGTGGAGCTTCTGCCATGAAGTAAGGACAGCTCTTCATGGTCACTCCCCAGGGGTTAAGTGAAAGAGAGAGAACTACTCCCTGTCATTGTGGGGTGAATTACCTCAATCTCTGCTTCAGGATTGTTTCTTTTTGCTGGTTTTGATCCAATTACTTTAATAGAATGACTTTGATAGACTCCAGTGTCCTATCTTACACTATACTGCTAGGAGTTTTTGGCTTTTATACTGTGCAGGAAATAATTCTGTTTAAGGTCTTTCATCTGGTCACTGTCTGATCAATTTTCTGTTCATTTGTCATAATAAATCATTCATTTTATAGAAATATTTCTGATTTGCCATCACTAAAACCTGCAGGACAAAGTGATTGAATCACACCTCTATAATTCCTTCAATCGAAACCAAAATCTGAGCCTGAGATTGGATCCAGCCACCCCCAGGCTCCTCTCTGAAAAGGAATTTGGAAAGCAAGGGGGTCCTTTCTGCCCCTCGTAGCTCAACGAGACGGCTTCTGCCATCAACTTTGTCTAAGCCTTCCACCCCCCAGCCCCAAACCGTGACACATGGGCATGTCTTGTGCATGCAGTGCAAACATGGGCTCCTGAGCTGGTCATTTGCTGTCCCTCCTTGGAGGGAAGAACAAGCCCAATGGCCTGGGGTGAGAGGCCAGTGCTGGGAGCGGCGCTGGCTGTGCCAGGGCACTGCTGGGTGCCCCCACCCTGAGCACTCCCCCCCTTGTGCTGGTCACTGCTGGTTTCCTCTGCAGGGCGTTGTGTTGGGCACATCCTGGAGAGCAAAGTGGAAAGCAGATGGAAGCTTTGAGGCCCTGGCCTGAGGAGATGCCCCTGCAGGATGGCAGTGCTGCTGCAGAGGTCAGCTCTGTGCCAGCAGTGCCCGTGGCTGTCCCTGCCTGCAGTCCCTGGACAGTCCTGCAGCAGGACTGGGACCGACTGCCAGAGCACTGAGGCCTCCACCAACACAGGGCTCTGCAGGACAGTGTGGAAGGGAAGGGAGAGGAGGCCACGCAGGAGAAGGGCTGCTGCTCCCTGGCAGTGCTGCTCTGCTGGGACTCTTTTGTGGCCCAGCTCTGCACAGAGGCACCGACCCTGCAGCTGCAGAGAAGTCAGAGAGGAAAAATGTCAGGCAAACAAGTCAAGGCAGAGTTCTTTATTTGGTTTGAGCACACAGTGAGTACAATTCCCAATTTGTACAGCCTGTGGGCCAGGCTAGAAAGACAAACATTGAATTAGAAATGGTCTTTATATATATATAAATATATTTACATTATATATATATATATATATATATATCTTTATATATGTATAAAGATTTTTTGGTGTGAACAAATTCTCACAAAAAAACCACCCCTACTAGGAGTAAAAAATAGAGAAGATATGGTGGGCCTTTAATGAAATCCATAACAGGATTGGCCTTTAATGAGGAAGATAGCATGCAGAAGAAGGAGAGTTTATTGCTTCTGAAAAACACCCAGTTATGATTTTCCTCAGGGCATCCTTGAGCTCCTGGTTCCTCAGGCTGTAGATGAAGGGGTTCAGTGTTGGAGACACCACTGAGTACAGAACTGACACAATAAGATTCAGGAATGGGGAGGAGATGGAGGGAGGCTTCAGGTAGGCAAAGAATAAGGTGCTGCTAAACAGAGAGACCACGGTCAGGTGAGGGAGGCACGTGGAAAAGGCTTTGTGCCGTCCCTGCTGAGAGGGGATCCTCAGCACAGCCCTGAAAATCTGCACATAGGAGAAAACAATGAAAACAAAACACCCAAATATTAAACAGGCACTAACCACAATGAGCCCAATTTCTCTGAGGTAGCCTGAGTGTGAGCAGGAGAGCTTGAGGATGTGTGGGATTTCACAGAAGAACTGGCCCAGGGCATTGCCCTGGCACAGGGGCAGGGAAAATGTACTGGCTGTGTGTAATAGACCACTGAGAAACCCAGCGGCCCAGGCAGCTGCTGCCATGTGGGCACAAGCTCTGCTGCCCAGGAGGGTCCCGTAGTGCAGGGGTTTGCAGATGGCAACGTAGCGGTCGTAGCACATGATGGTGAGGAGGGAAAACTCTGTTCCAAGAAAGAAGACAAGCAGAAAGACCTGTGCAGCACATCCCATGTAGGAGATGGTTGTGGTGTTCCAGAGGGAATTGTGCATGGCTTTGGGGACAGTGGTGCAGATGGATCCCAGGTCTGTGAGGGAGAGGTTGAGCAGGAAGAAGCCCATGGGGGTGTGCAGGTGGTGGTCCCAGGCTACGGCGCTGAGGATGAGGCCGTTGGCCAGGAGGGCAGCCAGGGAGATGGCCAGGAAGAGCCAGAAGTGCAGGAGCTGCAGCTCCCGCCTGTCTGCAAATGCCAGGAGGAGGAACTGGGCCATGGAGCTGCTGTTGGGCATTTGCTGCTTCTTAGCACAGGGTCTGCTCAGAAAAGGAAGCCACAGGGTAAAGTTTAGACAGACACCTCTGACAATATCACTCCAGATTTCAATACAATTCATTTAAGGATTAAATCAATTTTTTCTCTCTGGCAGAGAAATTTTTTTTTTTTTCTCAATTTTTTCTCTACGTGCTGGCAGAGGGCTGTGTGTGGCAGGAGCTCTTGCCATGTGTTGCCAAGTAGTTCAACGTGTTTCCAGGCCAGCACTGTAGTTGTGCTGGACAGAGCAGGACAGGAGCCCTCCTGCTGAGAAGCCAAGAGCTGGGACAGGAGAGTGCCCACCCCAAGGGAAGGCTCAGCACTGCCCAGGATCCTGTCCAGGCAGAGCTGGGCCTTGCTGGGGGAAGCACCAAACCCAGAAGCGCAGGCCTAGCAGAGAGGGCAGGGTCCCGCAGGGGAGATGTTCTCCAGGCAGAGGCAGCTCCTTGCCCAGCACACAGTGCCCAGCAGAGCTGTAGGGAAGGGCCCCCAGAGCTGCCTGAACACCCCCTCCCCCAGGCCTTGGGGGCACTTGCCCCCCACTCCCTGCCCAGGGCTCTGCTGCCTGGAGCTGTCCCTGCCAGCAGCTGCTTCCCTGGGCACAGGGCTGGGCCCTGGCAGTACTGCCAGAGCCCATCCCAGCCCTGGGGGCTCAGCTCTGCCCTGCAGAGCCCTCCCAGCAGCACAGGGCACTGCCCAGGGGCATCTCTGGCTGGGCAGGCTCTGATGGCAATGTCAGAACAACCCTGAGGAGGCTGGAAAAGTGACACTGATGCTGATTGTAAGACAGTTTCGATGTCTGATACTCTCAGGTTCAATCCCCTCTAATCTTAACAGAGTTCAAGTTCAAGTGTCTCCTCCTGTGCTCAGAGATTGATTTCTCTGTCACAGTCAGCACCCAGACAATCCAGAGTATAACACTGAAAGAACTGGTTCATTCTCTTTAAGGTACCCCCTGTCTGTCTGTGCCTCTTGCAAATACCTTCTGGGAAATTTCCAGCTTTGATCTGGAGCTGTGACCAGCCCTCATCCCTGCAGCACACTTTGGAGATCAGAAGGACTCTGCCCTGCTCTGCCCTCCCAGGAGTTGTTCCTTCCCCACAGCCCTTCTCCCCCAGCCCCATGGCAGCTCCTTGGCCGGGCTGAGAGCTGACCCTGGCAGGCAGCAGAGTCCCTGCCCCAGCACACAGAGCCCTGGGGGCAGGACCCTGCTCTGCCCCACAGCCCTGGGCACCCCTGGCTGCACCCCCACCTTCCCACCCCACAGCCAGCCCTGGCACAGGGAACCTTCTGGCCCTGGGCCTCTGATGGGGCAGCAGCAAGTCCTGCTCTGCAGCAGCTTCTCCTGCTGCACCCCAGCAAATCCAGCAGAGCCATCCTGACAGCTCCTGCCACTGCTGCCATTTGGCAGCTGGCAGAGGCACTTGCAGGAACTCACCTGCCCTGCTCTGCAGCCAGAGCCTGACCGTGGCAAAGGGCTGGCAAGGTTCCTGCCCTGAGCAGCTCTGCCCTGTCCTCCCACCCCAGGATCCCTTGAACCTCCTGCTCACTTCTCCTCTCTGCCCTTGCTGCCTGCAACTCCTGCCCTGCTCTGCCATATGGCCACTTCCCCTGCACTGCAGCAACTGGGAGAGTCCTGCTGAAAGATCCTAGAAGCTGTGGGATGTGCCAGCTTTAGGAGATCCCTCCAGGAAGGCAAGCTGAACTTTCCTACAGCCAGAGAATTCTTCATTTAAATCCTGGGAAGGTTTCTCCAATAGTCAGAGCTCAGTCACCTCCCAGCCCAGGCTGCCTCTCATCTCTCTGCCTTCTCTCCTGTGCCCTGGGTGCTGCAGGCAGTGCCCTCAGCCCTGCTGGGCTGTGCAGAGGAGCTGCTCACCAGCAGAGCTGTCTCTTTGAAGCTCTTCTTGCTTGCCAGGAGCTCCCTGTGTGCCAGGAGCCCGGCCCAGCTCAGCAGCACAGCAACAGCCCCAGGCATTTCATGACCCTCAGGGGACTTTGAGATTGTTTACATGAGACTCAGTCCCTGAGAGGAAGTTCAAACAACTTCTCAAGAAGTCAAAATGAGATTGAAACACTAAAGATTCTTGTAGTGCTAATGAGTGTCATTAAAGGAACACAACTGAGACCGTGTCCCCAGGTTCCAGTTGGAGCAGAAAAGTGCAGACAGTGATGACAAGGGTGGACAAGCAAGGGAAAGGTGGCTCTGATGCTGAATAAACCTTGACTTATTTTCTTAAGCCAAAGGATCAAGCCCTGACCCCCAGCCCCTGGGAAGGCAGATCCTGTCCCTGCCTCATTCCTCAGGGCTCTTCCTGGGCACTGGGATGTGGGATGTGCAATGCCAAGGGCAGGCCCATGGGGTGGCACCTGCCAGGCTGCTGAGCAGGGACAAGGAGGCCATGAGGCCCCAGGGCTGCAAGGGCCACTTGTCTCCTCCTGGCATCAGGGTCATAGACAGCAGCCATGGCCAAAGGCCTGCAGAAGGTGGCTCTGTCAGGGCCTTTCAGCTTCTCCCCATCCCTGTCTCCTCTCCAGCCCAGGCTGTCCTACGGTGTCCATGCCCTGCCCCTTTCCCTGCAGGCTGTCGTCATCCCCCCGGCTGCCCCACCTGGCTGGCACCTTCCTGCACTGACATCTCTGCGTCCTCCCTGGCTCTTCCTGCACACACAAAGCCTTGGGCTCATCCAGACTCCTTCTTTGTGACATATTGCACCACAACAGTGACCTTGGGGGGAATTTTCTGACTTCTTGTCACCAGTCTAGGCCACCCCAGCTGCCCTTGTGGCACCAGTTCTTTCTTAGGCTGTTTTCTGACAGGAAGAAAAGCTCCACCAGCTCTGACACCCCCCTTCCAGACCTCTCAGGCTACTCCTCTACTGTCCTCAATCTTCACACCACTGACCCCTGAGTCCTCAGCCTCTATATATGGGTCATGTGCTTGAGGCCCCAAATTCCTTCCTGAGGGATCTCTGGGACCTCTCCATGGTTTTGGAAGGTGACAATAGCGTGCTCTTATCCCAGGAAACACAGAGGGACACTTTTTTCCAAGGGTTGTCTTGGCAGAATGAGGCACAATCTCTTTAAACTTTCTGGCACAAGGGAGCTCTGAGCTCTGGGTACGGAGGGAGGTCCAAGTGCCAACCACTGGAGTGGGAGCTACAAATCATCAGGTCTGGTGTTCTTTGGAGGGCCAGACACTGGTGAGACAGCTGTGTGTGTGTGCACATGGAAGGACTTGAAGGGCACATTAAACTGTCTCAAAACACTGTCAAAGCAGGAAAATCCCATAGGGCACCACAACACACAAGCACTGGTGGCAAACAGGAAGGCCTTTAATTCCAAGGCCTAAAGGGAGGTGAAGCTTTGGAAGTAGCCCCCAGGACAGAATTGCACTGTGCAGAGTGTGGGAAAGAGCAGACAGCCCCAACAGGAAGCCAGGGCTGGTAAGGCAGGTCTGGGGAACCCATCCAGACAAAGATTCCCACCTGCAGACTGGAAGCACACTGGGAAAACTCCCACCATGGCAAGCTGTGGGAAAGGAAGCAAGTCCTTGTCCACGTGCCAGCTCAAGCTGTGGGAACAGCATCTACCCCCCTGAATACCTGGGGCTTGGGCTGTGTAAAAGTGATAGCCCAGAAGCACAACTTGAGGACCCTCCACCGAGCAGAGCAGGGTGAAGAAGGACCGGTGGGAGCCTCAGGGATCTCCATGGTGTGATACATTTACTTCATCTCTGTCTCTCTCTCACTGGCTTCCCACCACCCCCTTCTTCTCTCTCTTTCCATTTCTTTCTCTGTCTCTACCTCCTCTTTACTGTTAAATCAAAGCTGGACTGCTGACTTTGGCACATGGTCTCCTTTGCAGCTGAATTTGGGCAGAGGTGTCTCTTACTAATGGGAACCTGACAGTATCCATGAAGGTTTTACAGTGTGGGAATGGTCACTAGATTCCATGAGGTTCCACAGAGTCGCAGGGTCCATTTGGCTTTGTAAGGCTCTGCAGTGTGATAATGGACCCTTGATTCCATGGGTTTGCAAAATGTCTCAGGACTCCTTTGGTTCTAGGAGGCCCCACATATCACAGTGGCCCCTTGGTTCCATGAGATTCCACAGTGTCCCAGGAATCCTTTGGTTCCATGAGGCCCTGCAGTGTCACAGTGGCCTGGTAATTCCATGTGGTTCCACATTGTCCCAGGGTTCCTTTGGCTGAATGAGGTTCTTCAGTGTCACAGTGGCCCCTTGATTCCATCGTTCCACAGTGTCCCAGGGTCCATTTAGCTCTATAAGGCTCTGCAGGATGACAATGGTCCCTTGATTCCACAAGGTCCTGAAATGTCTCAGGGTTCCTTTGGTTCCATGAAGCCCCGCATGTCACAAAGTCCCCTTGACTCCATCAGGTTCCAGAGTGTCACAATGGTCACTTAGGCTCAATAATACCCTGCAGTGTAAGAATGTCTCCTTGATTCCATGACATTCCACAGTGCCAATATGGGCCCTTGATTTCTTGAGGTCCACAGTGTCCCGGGGTCCCTTTCTCTCCATGATGCTCTGCAGTGTCACAGTGGCCCCTTGATTCCATGAGGGTCTGAAAAGTCCCAGGGTTCCTTTGGTTCCATGAGGCCCTGCAGTGTCACAGTGGCCTTTGAGTCCCCGAGGTTCCTCAGTATCACAATGGCCTCTTGATTCTATGAAGTCCCAAAATGTCTCAGGGCAACCTTGGTTCCATGAGGCCCTTCATGGCACAATGCTCCCTTGATTCCATGAGATTCCACAGTGTCCCAGGGTTCCTTTGGCTCCAGAAGGCCCTACAATGTCACAATGGCCCCTTTACTCCAGGAGGTTCCACCATGTCCTTGCTGGAACACACAGGGCTGTAATGTTGTCACCCCTGCAGAGCTGCCTCCAGCTCTGGGCTCCAGCACAGGAAGGACATGGACCTGTTGGAGCGAGTCCAGAGGGGAGCAGCAAGAGGATCAGAGGGATGGAGCAGCTCTGCTGTGAGGAAAGGCTGAGAGAATTGGGATTGTTCAGCCTGGAGAAGAGAAGGTTTTGGGGTGACCTGATTGTGGCCTTGCAGTGCCTGAAAGGAGCCAACAGGAAAGATGGAGAGAGACTTTGGACAAGGGCCTGGAGTGACAGGACAAGGGGCAGTGGCTTCACATGCATAGAGGGGAGGGTTGGAGGAGAGAGAAGGAAGGAAATCTTGAGTCTGAGAGTGCTGAGATGCTCTTTAAGGCCCCTCCCAAGCCAAAGCATTCCATGATTGTGGGACTGGTGGGTGAGGTGGTGGTCGGAGCCATCTGGGGCACAGGGACCCAAAATGAGGGAGTTTTCCATTGTGGGGGAAGGAAGGAGGGGGCAGCAGAACTGACCCCTTGGACACCTGGCAGGCAGGCTTTGGCTGGAAGCTGGTGATGGGGAGCTGAGTGAAGCCCCCAATATCCGGGAGGAAATGGTCAGTGACCTGCTCTGCAGAGGGATCTGGACAGGCTG